TAATACAATTCCTAAATTGGATTCAGCCAAGATTCTAAAATCTGATTGTGGTAGCGCAGTTTTTGTTTTTTTTTGGAATGAAAGCATTTTTTTGAATAGTGAGTACCGCGGTAGTAGCTGTAGATAAGAATCAGTACGCGAAAAGAAAGTAAAAAGTATCTAGGGGTCTAGGGGTTTGGGTCACAATCGGGTGCCTTGGGCGGAACGGGCGGTTCAAGCTGCAGGGTCTGCTTCACGCGCGCCTTCGGCGGTAAGGTCTTCGGCGGAAAAGCCTTCGGCCGAAGTGCCTTCGGCGCAGGCAGAAGGAAGCGCCTTCGGCTCAAGCTCCTTCGGCGGAGACTTTACAGCGGAAGACGTACGAAGGATGTATTACGAAACTCTTTTGTCGGTGGACGTGACCTCGTCGATAGACTTCGCCTTCGGCTATAGACTCCTTCGGCCGAAGCGCCTCCGTCGTTAGGGTTTGCCTTTGGCGGAAGGCTGTGCCTTCGGTTCTAGGACGCTCCTTCGGCGGAAAGATGCGCCTTTGGCGGAAGAAGAGAAGAAAAAGAAAACGGCTGAAGCGAGTGCCTTTGCCACTAGCGCCTTCGGCGGTACGCGGACGGAGCTCTACTCCGGCGGAAATCGGCGGGATTATGTCAAATGTACAAGTGTGAAAGTCCGCGCAACGGCGGAGCGTGAATTCGCGCGTGCGAATCAGACCGTTACGCCTCATCGCCGGCACAGCATTCAAGCGGGTCGCTGCCAAATGTTGAACTTGAGAGTTCTTGATGAGCAGAGAGAGAAGCTCATTCACACATTTTCCGATTTTGCGCTTACTCGAACTTGCAACGCGTAGTAGCAGCAGGAGCACGCAGCGATTGTCAAGAATTCGATGGCCAAGTCTATTTCATTTAAGATGGTGTCATTGCGGGTGCCGCAAGTCGGATTGCGGACATTTCAAGATGAATTGATAGCGGTGAAGCTCGATTTTCTTTTGTGGGTATGGAATTGGGTGTGCGGGCGATGGTCCGGGAGTGGCTGCGCAAGAAGGATCAGCCTCCGCGAGGTTATCGACCGCACCCGGAGAGATGACGAGTGAGTGATTGGGAGCAGGTCTTGGGAAGATGTGCGGGAGAGGAAGGTGATCTCCTATTTGAGTGCGAGAGTGTGCATCTCTCGAAAGAAGAAGAGATTACCTTCAGCGCCCTTTTCAAGAATTGCAAGTCGAGCAAGAACGGGTACATGACCCGTGACTATGTTGATCGCAAGCGGAGGAATGTCGCGGTAGCACTCCTCTAGATTTTGCAGCCGCACAATACTACCTACATGACATCTTGGCAGGTGGGATTTGTGGAGCTGGCGTTGGCGGGTACTCCAATTCATTGGGCTCGCATTTTGTGGAGGGCCACACGGAAGCATGCAGTAGAGGAGAAGGGAGGGTCGATTAATCACCTCTCCCCTTTCTTGATAAATTTTTATCGGTTGATGGGGTGTCTGACAATAGAGGAGAAGATACAATTTCCCTTGCTGTCGCGGGCGAATCCGGAAAGGCTTGTGAGGGATGTCGAGGTTGATTCAGACTCCGACGAAGTGTCCGCCATCACACCACTAGCCTAACTTAGGGCGGAGGAAAGAACCGAGGGGAGCGCGGGCACTCCAGAATCGGAAATTTGATGGGAAGGCAGAACTGAGTCGGCGAGAGTTTCTCGCTATCCCAGTCAAGCGTCGGGCAAACAACGAGCAAGCCCGACCAAAGCAAAAGGCTCGCAAACTGATTTTGCTAGCGGACAGCAGCGCGGACACGGGGCGAGCTGCAATTGCGAGGGACTCACCTTCCTCCGAGGAGGATGTGAGTACAGAGGTTCTTGGGAGGTCGACTGATCTTCTTGCGCCGAAGGCACTCGTGCCTTCGGAGGAAGCACTTAGGCCTTTGGGCCACAGAGGAAGGCGCACTGCAATGGCCAGAATCCCTGCGCAGGAGAGATGCTTGTCTTTGGAGCAAGTACCGTTTGATGATACGCCTTCGGCGCAGGAGCAGTTCAAGGTGGTGCCTTTAGCAGAGGTGACTTCGGCGCTGAAACCCCTAGAGCACATTCCTACGGGCGAAGGCAAGGATGCGGAGACACGTGTGACTTCGGCGGAAGCACTTTTGACGGGATCAGATTGGGAAAATGTAGTAGGTCCGCTTGGGGCGGGTTCTGTCACCCCGTTGGAAGTACTAGCATGACATGGAGTGGAGGTCGCAGCAGAGGAGGCTGCGAGGTCCAATGCTAGAGATTTGCCCAGGATTTCTGCAGCGACAGAAATCCTGGAGACAGAAGAGTACATGCATTGGAGGTACAGTCGGTGTGAGGTACACCAACCGGAGTGCTCTACGAGCAAGTGGTACCGCTACTCCAGTACCTTGATCGCAAGGCGACCAAGTACGGGTATCCCCGCCAGTGTGGATCCTATGTTGAGCTGGTTTGGAATCGGACGCGGATCAAGGTGGCGACAAATCCCGAATTGATGGTCTTGAACCAGAAGTATCGGCAGTTGGAGGAGCGCTACAATTTTCTGCAGGATCAATGAGCCTTATCTCAAAAACTGCAGAAGACGGCGATTCAGCTGCGAGATGAGATGGTGATCAATGCGCGGCGCGAAATTGATGAGCTGCGTGCGAAGGTCCAGACGGACCTCAGTGCTGAGTTGGCTTAAAGCCTCACTCTAGCGGATGAGCTCGTGTGAAAGACGCAGGCGTTAGAGAAGAGCAAGGCCGCAAGAAGAGCAGACGAGGAGTTGTTGGGTCGACTGTAGTCGCAGTGCGACGAGTTGAGGACGCAGCGTGCGGCGGCGGAGTTACAGTTGGCAGAGGCTGAAGGCCACAACCGGCGCGCGACAGATCGCACGCGGGAGGAGTTAGTTTCGCGGGTTGACCGTTGTCTGAGAGGTTATGCTCGCAGGGAGATCGCGGCGCGGGAGCGGATGACGTTGCGTGAACTTGAGATGCGCGCGACAGCTTTGATGGCTGGCGACGGACGAAGTCGGCGGCGAGTGGCGAAGCGATTGAGTCATTCTTGTCCAGGTTGCGGGATGCCATTGCGAACCTTGAGGCAAAGGTTATCGTAGTGTTGCGGCGGCTCGGACTGCGTAGGAGAACAGACGAGTGAACGGGTAGAGAATTAGTGGGTCGTCGGCCGACTCATAGGAGGCATAGCCGATGAGGTAGAGTGTTAGGTAGTTAGGACTTTAGAGTGTATAAAGTGGTCCAAGGCGTTGACCTTGGGAGATTTTTCAGTTTTGGAAGTTCAGTTCAGGAAATTGTTTCCTCTGCTCTATTGTGTCTTTTGTTCTGTCACCGCGCAAGAGGAGTTATAGATTGTCAAAGTTACCGCAACCTACAACCGAAGGCATTCGCCCGAGCATTCTGAGCTAGCGTAGTCTAGTCATGATCTAAGCAAGTTTGGACTTACATCTTCGGACGATTTTCCTTGTTTGTATTCCTTTGGGATTTCCCCCCAATACCAAAGTGAAGTTTTGTTAACTTCGGAGTGAAAGTTGGTTGAATTCAGGTTGAGTGTGTTACGCTGCTTCAGGCGCCTTCAGACGTAGCCTTTGCAGTACTTCTGAGAATGACAATTGCATGAGAATTCAAACTCGTCAATAGACTGTTAAGTTGTAACACTGGTTCTTTTCTCAATTTAGTTTTCAGTTCAGATTTCTGTATTCTCTGCGCGTTTAGTGAGTTGAGTGTGTTGTTCACCGCGTGAGAGTGACTTCGGTTTGACGAAGGTACCGCATCCGAAGTAGGAATTCCAACCCAAATGGTCTGCACTAGCAGTGGCTAGTGACAGGGTTTAAGCAAATTCGGAATTGGTAGCTACCTGCAGATCCTCTGAGTGCCCTCTTGAGAAACTTTCCCCCCCTGAATCCCAAGTGGAGGTCCTGATTGACCTCTGAGTTGTGCATTTACAGTTTCAGGTGTGTGTTGGGTGTACTACGCTGCATTGTGTGTCCATCTGAGTGACCTCCGAGTTGAGCACTTGCAGTATTTCTGGGAGTGACAATAGCTGAGAATTCAAACTCCTCAATAGACTGTTAAAACGTGACACTTTGTACTCTGTGTGTTGTTCCTACCCTGTGGATTCGATCCTTTGTTGTTATACTGCAATTTAGCCTTGGATAGGCTATCACACAGATTCAGTATCCCTCACAAGGATTAATACTAACACAAGTTAACACACCACAGTAGATGATACAATGTTCAAGGCGACGAGCTAAATCTTGCCAACCTTAGTAGTCGACACCGCACAGACATTCAATCCTAAAGTGAGTTCATGTTGACATAACTAAGATAGCCAAGAATAGTCCTGACAAGAGTAAATCCTAACATAATTAACTAAACTTAAACTAACAAATTATGATAAATCTCTAAGTTTTTGAAATTATATACAAATCATATGCTGTTGTTTTATAATTTATTAGTATTATAATGTGAGTCATTTGAAAAAAATTATTTTAGAAACATGATGATATTTATATTCAAGTAAATCATTTTGCTTCCTTCCATATTAGGCATTTCATAGCATATAATAAGTACATTATTCCAGATTAGAATAAAATAAATAAATCATTTTTTGTGCTGTAGGCTTAGTTCCTTGCACAATTAGCAGATCGCTGAGTTAGTTCTTTATATGTGTGTCTCATGTTAAAGATAAAGCCATAAACCATTTCATGTTAAATGTAACATTTCATTCTCTTAATGTATCTACTAAGAGAATGAATTTTTGCATTCTAGTATTGATGAAAAATATAAATATTGAGTTGAGAAAAGAAGTAAGACAATGAGATACCATTATCTGAGATAATTATTAATGTATTTAGATTTTGAAGTTAGAAGGTGTACTTACCTTAATTTTGACAAAAGTCAACACATCCTGACTTTTTCTACAAAACTATAGAATTTAGATCAATAGAATGTTCCAACAAATCCAAGGAGAGTAAAATTCTGTTTCTGATTCGTGCAATCTTGATTGCTAGTCACATTGATGCTGTTTTATTACAAATTGTTATTTCAAGTCCATTAAAAACAAAATTCAATCTATTGCACATAATGATTTTGTCCTACAACTAGCGAGCAGAAGAATAGTTTTAACAGGTCATTATTATTGTGAGCATGTGTGGCCATGATGATTTGCATTCTACGCTGATACTAGATGCTAAAAGGAAGAACTATGTTAAATGATTTGCATTCATTCTTCGCTGTTCGAAACAGCACGGCAGACAAGAAGTTCTATACTTGGGAACTGTCGCGCGTATGCGACTCCAAGGACAATCAAATCCGTTCAGTTCATGAAATGAATTTCCCTCCGTTCATGCATGCCATGCCGTAAGCTTTACAGCGTTGCATTGACGATGATAAATATAAAACAAACATTGCTTTGACAAACCAACTGTCACATCGGGACATCATGGTAGAGAGTCGAAGGGCTCAACAGCAATCTCGCTGGTGAAGGAGCACTCCATGCTACAGTTCCAGCTTTCACGTAAATCCACCTCCACAGTCCTCCAGTCTGATTGCCTTCCGACTGCAGTCCAGAGTCCAGACGGGGTTGTCATATCTTCAAACGACGGGATGCCATGAATGCGAATCGTTCCCAAAAAGTTCTCGAGAAAAATAGGATTTCCAAAACGATGGACTTCATTCATAGTCGACAGATGGTAGCTTTGACAAGAGCAAACAATCACTTCGCGTGATAGCCATGGTAGCACATGACCCAAGAGAACAGATTACGCCTTCCACACACGAAATTCGGTGAAGAGAACAGATTACGCCTTCCATACACGAAATTCGGTGAAGAGACTGCGCGAATTGTAGGAGAGAAATTCCTGCACGACTGCGCCGTCTCGACTACGTTACAAATCAGATATTTTGACCTCACGAACGAGAACCGCAAGAAAAACATGTGGAGCGGGGGTCTGCGACTCGGAGCGACGGCAGCGATGGAGCAGCGGAAAGATATATCGTGCGTCTAGCCTACGGCAACTTTAGCACAGGAGCTCATTTCCCATCCTTTGCGCTTTGTTTTCCAGTCCTCATGAAGATGGAAGAACCTTCTACCATCTTCACGACAGGACTATACAGTACATTACAGAAAAATATGAATACAGTACCGTACAGTTATGTTCATGAGTATCCGTACCTCGGCGGGTGCACACCCTCCTTCCTTCTTGTTCCAAAAGAAGGACTCACGACAGAGCGACCGGAGACCGGACCACTTCTGCCAGACCGAGGCCCATCGACGCTGGGACTGCCAGGGCATCCGCATTGACGAACCTTCCGGCGAAGCTCCGAGTTGAATCGGGTCACCGAGTCCACCGTATGGTTATGGCGCTATCTGGACCGTACTTAGGTCAAGCCGGATGAACAAACGGAAGTTGGATCGAACGGCGATGGACCGTTGGCATGCTGTCGTCGGCTTTGGAGTGCCGGGATCCGGGGGAATTTTTGTCGGTTCCGAAGGCCTCGGGGTCCTCGGAACCCGACATGATTGCGTGGTTGGGACGCTTCGGGCCATAAGCGGTCCATGAAGGTCCATGAAGGGGACGACGACGACGACGGTGTCGAGTTTGAACCGGGTTACGAGGCGGGCAGGCTGGTTGGTTGGCTGGTGGTTCGGTTGGTTGGCGCAGCTGTAATCACCTCGTTCGAGATCCAACTGTGCCGCAGAGCGCAAGCATTGGCTCGCAAGACGTTGCAACTGTGGACGTGCGCAGGACGTACAAAGGGCCGTGGCGGGCCCCTCCGGCACTGCCGACCACAGCCAACGAACGAGCGCAGGAAGGGGGGAAGGCGGGCCGGGACCACGGGCGGGGCACAGGTTCACAGCGAGCCGATAGTGTTCCTGCTGTATAACAACCGATTCGAATTGCTGGTTTTGCGATCGTCTCCAGTGGCGAGATTGCGTTTCCACTTCTGCTGCTTCTCTCGCTCGCAGTCGCTCGTGATTTTCCTCCTCCTCTCCGCCTCCAACAGCCTCACCTCGCCTCATTCGGTTTCGTGTCGACGGACTCCGAAGCGATTTCTGATACCTGCAGGACCATCAGCACCGTCTTCGCAGCTCTTCGGCTCTCGATCTAGAGCTTTTGATCGAGGTGAAGATAGCTGCGTCCTCGCCTTCGGTCGTCGAGAATGTGCCCCAACAGGAGGCAGCTGCAGCATGTGAATTTCGGGAGCAGTCTCGATCTTCAAAATCAAGTGTTCGGAAGCAACATCAACCGGCTGAGAGAAGCGTTTGATGTTTTAGACAGGGACGGTGATGGAATAATCGCCGCATCGGATTTGGAAGGATTTCTACAGAAGGTGGTCGCCAGCAAGCTCATTTCGAAGAGCGACGTCCGTAGAATGCTTGCTCTGGTCGAGGGAGACGTCGATTTTGAACAGTTTCTGCGACTTTTGAAAGTAGAAGGTAACTCCGCTGCGCATGGGGAGGCCACCCCCTTGACGCAGGAGAACAATGAAGCTCTGCGCACCATGTTTCGCGTGCTGGACAAGAACGGAGACGGAGTCATCTGCTCTGAGGATTTGAAATCTGTCATGAACACTGTGGACGGTTCCGGGCGACGTCTGTCCGAGACCGATATCCGAGGGATGCTCGAAGCAGTGGGAGCGGGTGAGAAGAAAGTGAGGTATCAAGACTTCGTGAAGTTCATGTCATTCTCCAGACCTGCCAGACCCCAGTACAACGGCCCTTCTCCCAGGAGTGCCAAAGTCCAGTAAATTCCCTAATCATCTTCTTCTACTCAACGTCGCTTCGAGCCCTTTATTCTACTCGATCAGCTTCACAACGAAAGGACGGTCTTCAAATCTCTAGAGCATATCAGCTCGATGAGAAGGATGGACCAAGCGATGTCGGCCAGCCTGTCCAACTCTTCCTCCATGCGGCTACCGTCAAATATGTTGAAGAGGTGTATTATTTTGCATTTTCCAGTAACCTAACATTAGACTGTACATTTGAAGTATACCGACTTATTCTCTTGAGGAAAAGTTTTAATTAACTGCGAAAATTTAGAACTGTTATCGTGATGGGGTATTCAACGTATGGTATTTTCAAGAGGAATCGAGCATGTGTATGTCTCGGGTTCAAGGAAGGACCATTCGCCTGAAGCATTTATTAAAACTATTTGGACCAAATACACCTTCTAAAGGTTTTTGCAGCATTCAACGTCAGCAGTCGTCTCGGTCTCGAATCGTAGTCAGTCACAGCCGGCCGGGATTTCGACATTATGAATGAATGGTTCATGCAATTTTCTCTTGTGGGTGTCCGAGCTTGACGATGCACAGTTCTTCGTCTGGTCGCATGAAAATGTACATAATTCCATTCGCGTGTACGAGGTTGTTTCACGTACTATTGCGTTTTGGCTTTCTGATTTGGCAATCTATCTTATAACCTAGTAGGCAAAATTTGGTGTGTCATGGGGTACACGTGAAAAGGTGGAGAGGAAAACTGGCGCGAGAACACCAGGTACGTGAAGGGAGACGGGGAATTACATGGAGTTGCAATAGTATACGGAAGAGACAATTGGAAGCTTGTGGGGTTTAGTCAACTCTGAGGTAGAAAGCGTAGTGTGTAGGGAATGGATCGAAGCTACCGGATGACTACAATAATTCAACTAACTAATTTGTATCTTACACCGCTGTATATGCATGTTCTACACATGTGTATGTGCATGAATAGTTCACATCATACATTATCTGACCTAAGATACCCTTGGCTCTACTTCCCATCTGACTATTGATTGGAGAGGAGAACGAGTTGTCATGAGACACGAACAAAACTCACTTTTTACTTTTTGTCGGACTGTCTTCAAGTCAACGATTTGTTTAACCGACAACAGTGAATATTGAAATATTGGAAGATTATGTTCGAAGATTGAATCTCTCGAGAATGCAATCAACAGTGATTGCCCATGATGTATATCACTTTGTCGGAGAATCAATCCAACTTTGAGAGAAACTGCAGTAAAATATTAAACTACAAAAGTAAACATCGAAAAACAGCAATTTTTGTGTGTGGTCTAGTACTCACGTGGAAAAAACAAATAGCGAGCATATATATACATATACATTTGGCGAAGAAGTAAACTAGTTAATACAATATAAAGTGGAGTAACACGAAGACTAGCAGAATAAGAGAAAGTGGAATAACATCAAGAAAAAAGCTACCAGTCGAGAGAAATCCATCAAGCTGTAACAGATGAGAAGTAAAAGATATGATTGGTACAAGTCGCGAAACCTTCACAATGAAAAGAATATGTGACTTTGCGTCTACAATCTCCGCCCAAAATAAGTCACATATCAGCGGAATTTTTGCAGAATCATCATCATCTCTCTTTTTATCCCGGTACATGGCTCCGTGTATAATCCCATTCACTGAAGATACAAAACTCTAAAATATCATTGGGACTAATCTCAAATTTAGTATAAGAAAAAGCTATACCCATGCAATATATAAAGTTGAGGTTGAGTGCACTTCCTTGATACAAATTATCTTCTTATCCAAATATAGTTCTTTCTTATACAAACTTCTCTATAACATTCAATCTTATTGTACCATGACACACATTCACACAACAATTAATAACAAATATTCATTATACTTCTCAACAAGAATCCTTAATATAGCATATTAATCATACAATTTTAACTATTAGAACTTTTGCAAGTTCTCTCATATAGCTACCCTTTGATAGCATTCTAAAATCTTCATTTATATTGAAAATGATAACTAGTCTCAACATGGACAACACAAAAAAATTGTTATTTACCTCAGCAAACACTAAATACACTTAGTATTCTATAAAATTTCAATTTATTTCACAATAAGCTTATGCCAATTTTGTTATGTGATTCTAGTGAACAAGTCTAATCAATAGTAGTCAAAATAATTGAGTTTTAATCAAAATTTTAATTTAATTTCTAAATTTTATATTTCTGTTAAATTTTTTAATTACTTATTCCAAAGTATTCATAAAAAATAATTAAATCTTTAATCTTAAAAAATAGAAAATACAGATTATATCAAGAATAAATTTCTTAAAAGTTATCCTAGACATGGTTAATTCTTATTACATTGGGTATAGTTAATCGGAATTTTAAATAAAAAATCATGTTTTTGCAAATCTTTCAGCAAAGGCGAATCGTGATTATTTTGTATCATTCTGTAATGTTTTTTATTTTGTATATTGTTCTGTTAGAATTTTATAACTCTAGCATATAAGAACAGAAGTTTGCTTGCTATCAGACAAACTTTCTAAAAAAAATATTAGTAATATGCACGTAGATATATCATAATGTGTACACAAATAAACTCATGAACATGCATATGATTTGCTTCAAACATTTATCATATGTTGGGCACATCTAAATAACATATACTTGATTAATTCTTGACGAATAAGTAGAAGAATTTAAAGATATACAAAATTTAACCACAAAATAGATAGATTACTTGGTTCATTTCAAAAAGTATATGAACTTATTGAAAAATAATAATTTTAAAGCTATTTTAAACAACACTTCTAAATTATGAACATAAAATTTAAACACATAACTTAAATCACAAATTTTGAAAGTTTAGACTGTGTATAATAAAAAATATCAATTTAAAGTAAATTTACATAAAAATATTTCATTTATGTTGGATAATTTATTTATTCAGAAATAAATTTGTTATGTTAATATAGACTTAAATTTTGAAACAACTCTAATTGACTTAATCCAAATTAGGGTAAAATTTAGGCTAAATCCTAATTAGATTTAGATTTAAGCTTAACCCCAATTAGAATAAAAATTAAAGTTTCTTCAACCACTATATATATAAGTGCAAATCACTACTTGATTCAAGTGGTGATTTGTTAAAAGTTAAAAATCTACAAAATGTTAACTTCAAGTGACTTGAAAATAACATTTTGTAGGTTTTTAACTTTCTTTTCCCGTGAACTAACTTCTAGATGGCAAACCATCTATATGTCGGCTCTTTGTTTCTATCTGCATGTGGTAATATGTTTGTTATGTTTTTTTTTTTAAATCAAACATTTCAAAAGCTAAATGCTAAAATTTCAGTACATTAATTAAATTTTTTTAAAACTGTAATTTCTGAGATATTATGAGATATTATGTTGATATTTTGAGAATCAAACCTGAAAATTCTAATGCATTATATTTCTTAAAATGTAGAATTCATTATCAATAAAATCAATTACATTCAAACTAAATAAAACTGCTCAAAATTTTTTATACATTTTTTTATAAAACTTTTAAATTCTTTATATAAATGAAATATTATTCAAAATTAAATTAAATTTTGTTTTTAAAAAAATTTTAAAAAAATATCAAATCAAAATCAAATGATAAAATTCCATATTTCAGGCTATTTTTAGTTTTGATATTGAATTAAAATCAGAAGACTTGAAATTATTTTGAAAAAATTTCAAATAATATATGATAACCAGGAAATTATTAAGATAAAAATAAATAATTAACATATTTTTTATATATTCTTATTCAAAATCTATCGTAAAAAATTTGAATTTAAAGAGTATATAAAAAATTATGTTTAGGGATTTAAATAATAATATAAGCCAAAAACAAATTTTATCAGTAAAAAAATACTTTGATTATATAATTAATATTTAATATTTTTTTGAATAGTTTCATAGAAAAAAAAAATTTTCAAAAAAATTTATGGATATCTATGGGCAGAAATAGTTTTTAATAAAAAAAATCACAAAATGATTTTGAAAAATATTTCTCAAACTGTAAAGCAAAGAAATTTTTAATTTAAAAATATTTCGATTACAATAAAATTCATAAATTATAGATAACGTTTAAAGAAAAGACAAACAAATTAGAAATTTCAAGGTGTATTCTTAAATAATAATTAAAAAATGTGTGATTATTATATATTTATTTAGAATTGATATCAATATTTATTAGAACTTTAAAAACATGCCCATCCATTATAATTATACCAAAGTCTGAACTTTGTAATGTATACAAAAATTTTGTTTACACAAGAATTTTTATTTTTGCAGAGATGTATCATTTCTTTTGGTTCTGTAAACATTTGTGTTTGCAAACCTTAGCAGATATATGCATATGAATTTTGATTTTTTACACCCAATTTTTCTTGCCAAAAAAATCTTACACACTCACTCTACACACTTCAACCTATCTTATTTCAACCAGCGTACTTGGGTTCCCATAAGATTACCAGCAACATCAAACTCTTAAATAAGAATTTTCTAAGATTCCAAGACACTAGTTGAGATATTTTACACCAATTTAACAATAAATATAGAGTTTTGTAACCAACTTTTACTCTCTTTTGCACGCAAAGTGACCAACTATATTCATTTAGAAAAATCTATGTCTAGATTTTTGTAACTCTTCACTTAATCTCATTGTTGATCTGTTTAAGTGATAAAAATTTGAATTTAGTGCCCACTATAATGACTTTATACTTTTTCACATTAACCTCCATATGATTTAAGATAGAAATTCAGATAGAGGTTTATGGATGACAAAATGTCTAAGTGTTTTTGTAAACCAATACCATCACGTGATAGTAATATGAAATCATATTACTAACACGTGATGACAAAGTCTTCAAGCTTGACACCTTCACTATCATATTTCTCAAATCATTTTTTTATATCATCTATGAAAACTCCAAATAGAGTAGGAAAAAGAATGATTCTGATGGTACTCAAGATCTCTTGAATTTGTGAACTGTTGGTTCAAAATGGTTCAATATGTTATAACGTGGCAACGGCTACTAGGAGATTTGATGATACTCCAATGAATTGCAAATTTTTTCACAAGAGTTGACAAGGTACACTGTCAAAAGCTTTTTTGAAATCAATGAAGTCACAAACAAAGCTTTTTTATTGACCTTAAATTTCTTCCATAAAACACACAAGGTCAAGATATGGTCAATGGTGTTGTATGTAGTGCCAAAACTAGCTTGAATATGCGCATTCTTTTGAAAATACTCAGTCCATGTGTTCAACTTTGACTCCATGAATCTGCAAAACAACTTGGCATAAACATTATCTATCATGATAATGCAATAACTTGTCATCAAATATTTCTTTCTTATTTGTGACCAGAAATTAAAAAGAAGAGAAATTGGAAAGTATGGTTAACTCAAATCAATATATATATATATATATATATATATACTCTTGCAAGGTCAATATGGAAAATGTAAGATTATGAGTATTTTAATACCTCCTTAATTTAGATCTTGATAATAATTTTATTTGGTAAATTACATAAAAATGATTTAATTTCAAAGATGACATACAACAAAAGAGTTAAAAGCTGTATAGTCTTAGAATAATGCACTTGATCTAACATTGTTCTTGCAATGGTTGTACTATCAGTTTGAAAAAAATATTCATTGCTCTAATATTCTAGATACTATAACACTAGAAGAAATAAAAATTTATGCAAAAAAATATACAAATTTGTACAAAAATAGATATTCATATCAATTTTTTTATTGTTATATTTTTTTAAAAGTATGAAAACAGATAAATTTTTATTGTTCTTATTTTTTTCATTCCTTGTGATTAATGACATAGCAAACATACCTCACAAAAAAAATATGTGTGCTATTAACCAACAAACTTACATTTTACTTGATATGCACAAAGTATTACAGATGTGTTATTCATAACAAACACACTCTAATTTTTAATGTAATAAA